CTGGCACTGGGAGCTTTAGGTCCATCTGACAGTGGGGTTGAAAGTTAGGGTGACAATGAAGCCTGCATTAGAAGCGGTGAGACTCCTTCCCTCTCCGCGCCACGCCCCACCAGGACCTGGCCCAGCCCTGTCTCTCCCACACTGGGTAGAAGACAGGGTGACCACCGAGGCCAAAACGGGAGGGTGCATTGGAAGTCCACGGCGCAGGGTGGCAGAGCCCGGCTCCGCCCCCTCACTGTCCTCCCAGGATGCTGCAGCCGAGTCCGAATCTTCTGGAAAGGAGAGTGCAGATTTTTTTCTTCTGGATAAATGAATATCCAAAAAGAAAAAGACCCTAAAGATACTGATGGTCAAGGGTCCTTGTAGGTTGGCTTGTAATAGTACAAAGTAGCCATGGCACATAGCTTTTTGTTTTAGTTTTTCATAACCCTGACTGGGGATTGAACCCACAACCTTGGTGAGTTGGGACGACACTCCAACCTACCTAGCTACCTGCCCAGGGTGGCATATCCTTTTCAAAGCGATCTAAATGTAGCCCAAAGTTGACTTCCCCTCAGCCAGATTCCAAAAATGCCTAGAGTGACTCCAAAATCATGACCACACAGAGGACACTTCCTGTTGGGAAGACAGTCATTGCTGCCAACTGTGGTTCAAATAACTTACTTCTAATGTTTCCATCACTGCGGGGGCATCTTGTTAGGCCCCTTTCAGGACCTGGGACACGACACTCGGAAGCTTCCGCTACACCAGCTTCCAGGTTCATTTGCCTCTCACAGTAGCGATGCCATTTTGGAAAACAAATGAATGTTTAATTGAGAATTAAAAGTGGGATAACAGAAAGTAAGGTATTCATTGAAGAGTTGAAAGATAAAGTTAACAAATCTCCCAGAAGTCAGAAAAAGTTAAAGGCATAGAAAATAAAAGTAAATACATGTGAGGGAATTTAAAAATCAGCCCAGATGGTCCATAATCCACATGGGGGGTAGTTTCAGAATGACAGGATGGAAAACCAGAGAAGATGAACTTATTGGAGACATAATTTCCAGAGATTTCCACACCAAAAAGGGTCCTTGTCTGTCTAGGACAAAGCTTGGAAAAGCAAGGCGTCTCAGAGCGCAGTCCTGCCCGCTGTGGAGAAAGAAGAGTTAAGAAATCTGGAGAAGGAAAAAGGAGTCACGTGCGGAGCTGTGGAATCAGACAGAGTAGCTTTAGACCTTTCATCGGGGGCCCCGGTGTTAAAAGGCAAGGCAGCAGTGCATTCCAATTTCTCAGGGAAAGTTTCAACCTATAACTCTACCTCCAGCCAAAAATATTATTAGTCGAGTGGAAACACTGGAGCTTGACAACATCAGACATGCGAAGATTTAGGAAGTTTATTAACACAAGCAGTGTCCTCTTAAGGATGAGTGAGTTTAATCCTTCCACATGGCAGAGAATCTACAGGTGCTGTTGAACACTGGTAACCAAGGAAAAGAGATCTGAAATACGAGACTTAGAGCCTTTTGGGAAGGTCCAAGGGCCAGGGGGCCCCTGAGGACAGACGGTCTTCCCTGCAAGCTTTGTGCTATTTGATTTTGTTAACCGTGTGCACGTATTAATTTTACTAACAATAATTTAATTTGAAAATGGGAAAGGAAGTGGATGGAAAGATGGAAAGTGGATAATGAAGCGACGACTGTGACAGAGTCAGGGACGGAGGCGTGGGAGGAAGGGGAAGCCCTTTGTCCCTACTGCAGAGGGTTCTTCACACCCACGGAGCTCTGTGTCCCTCCCCGGGGCGGCCGGAGGGAGATGCCAGCACGCCATTGAGGGACGAGGACACCGGGGCGCAAAGGAGTTCAGGGAGCTCGCTCCAAGTCACGTGGCCGGGAGCCGGCAGCGCGAGGGCTGATCCCAAGCCCGTCTGCCCCACCAGGCAGTTCAAATGCTGGCAAATAAGAGAAGGGAGATCTCTACGGGGACCTAGGACACGAGGAAGACAGTGAGTTTTTGATCGAGGAAAACACACAAATGTTAATGTGAGTTGGAGGAAAAGAGTCACCAGAGGCCAGGCACGGACACCACAGGAGAGCGCTGGAAGCACCGGTGTGAGTCTTAGAAAGCTGTGTGTGTGGCAGGTGGGGGGGGGGGCGGGCGCGGTGCGCAGCCCGTGGCCATGGGCCAGAGTCTGCGCTGGGAAGCAGCAGCCCCGTGGAGGGAGGTCACTGCCGAGCTGGAGCGGGGGAAGCTCGCTGAATCAGTGGTGGTGGTGTCTCCAGGAGGCAGGACGCTGGTTCTTCTGTAAAACACTGAGGAAGGGGGCTGGGCTCCTTCCCGGGGAGGCGGGAGCAGAGGAAGCTGAAGAGTGACTGGCACACTTAGGAAAGCGAGGAGGGTTGCTGGACTTCTCGAATAAAATGACAGCTCTCCCCACTGCATCGAACTGCACTTCAGCAACCGATGATCGTTTTTTTCTTTTGTTTTAGTACATGTTCCAAATGTTGGATGGTACTTCCTCTGGCGAGAGCCTCAAAGAGAGAGACTGAGCCTGCATAAAGAACAGCCCAGCTGCTCTGATGCCCAGAATTCGGAGTAGGGCCCCCTCAGTGTGATCTGGTCCCCCTCAGTGTGACCTGGTCCCCTGAGGGGACAATGTGACCCCTCAATGTAACCTGGGTGCTGTGGGCAGTCAGGCAGGAACGTGGGCACGGCTTCCGGGCAGCGTCGGAGAGGGGGCCCGGCCGGCAGCTGGGAGAGAGCCTGAGGAAGCAGTTCTCAGTGGCTCTCCCGAGAGTAATGATGCCACCCTGATGGGCACGTGTCATCAAGCATTTGTCCAAACCCACAGAAGGCTCAAGGTCAAGAGTGAGCCCCAAGGTGAGCCTCGGACTCTGGGTGACGCTGATGTGACCCTGTAGGTCGGTTGGTTGTGACAAGTGCACCAGGCTGCTAGCGAGGGATGTTGACAGCGGGGAGGCCGTGTCCGGCAGGGGCAGAGAGCACGTGGAGAACCACCTCTGTACCTGCCACTCAACTGTGCTGCGGACCTACAACTTAAAAAAAAAAAGTCGTACTAATAAAAACATGGTGAAAATGACGCTTATAAAACATTCCAGCCAAAAGATGATGCTTCGTGGTGAAAAGCAAAGGGACATTCATTAGCACGCTTTTGCTGCAAGTTTTGCGTAACAGATTTTCAGTCAGGGGGTCCTTTTAAAGTCGTTCTAAAAGGCATTCACTCGCGTATCTTGGGACCCATTTCGTAGACACGTGTCGGCGGGACATTAGTACCCATCCTACACTTGAAAGCTATCGTTCTGTCCCCCTTTCTGTTCCTTTGCCGTTTGTTTATCGGCCGAAGCCTGGTGACCCGGGAGCCTGGCCTCCGCAGTGTTTCAGTTTTGGAGCCCGGCTCTGCCGCTCGCTAGCTGGGATGGAAGCCTCATGAGGGGGCAGTTCCCTCAATGAAATCAGGAACGAAAGGGCTCTTGGCAGCGCTGCGGTGTTAGATTAGATAATCAGACCCACCTGACACCGGCCGGGTGTGCATGTGGCGCCCTTGAAGAACTTTTCAGCTAGTGGGTGGGGTGGAGTTTGACACGTCCCCACGTTGCCGGTGCTGGGCTGACACCTTTTTTGAAAATGAAACACGCCCTCAAACCCAATCAGCGCAGTTCCTTCAGCGTCTAGAGGACCCCTGCTTTGTTTCTAGGTTTCGTGCAAGGTGCTGTTGAATTTGTGGGTAAGGGCTCAACGGTTGAGGAAGGCTTTCAGGGAGCTGTGAATTAACTCACACTTGGCTTTTTCTTTTGCAAACTCATGAAATCCCAGACGCTGGGGGTCTGTTGTTGATTCATGCAGCCCGTTCTGAGTCATTCAGGTACAGGGCGTGCCTGTCAGGGGAAACTGCACAGCAGAGTTTTGCCCTCGCATCTGCAGGGATGAAAGGCCGGTGTCGACCAGGCCCTGGGTGGGACTGTCTCGCAGCAGCGGGGCAGGGCAGGGCGGGAGGGCCTGGAGCTGGTCACACAGCCGGAGCTGACCAAGGCCAGTGCCTCTCACGCTCAGGTTCAGAAGGGGCATCTAAGTGGCAGAAAAGTGGGCGAGGTGCGTGCCCTGACATTTGGGAACGCCTTCCCACCAGAAAGGGAAAGGGCACCAGCCCCAAACCGGGCCCCCGGGGCTCTTCCCCTTCGGAACTTCCTGAGCTGCCCGCGCTGGCCAAGCAGCTGCCTGCCCACCTCCGGAGAGGCCTCTCAGCGTCGGCCAGAATCTGGGGCACCCTAACCGGCCTGGCGCTCAGCCGTGGGGGGGGAACCCCCAGCAGCAGCTTGCCTGACCGCCGCTGGCCCATCTCACCCTGCGCCCCGGGAAAGCCACTTTCTGGCCCGTGGACCTCAAGTTTCGAGACAGCGTTGGGATGGGGGTGGGAGTGGAGGTGAGAAGTGGAGGCACGTCCCGGGGGTCCCTTCCCCGGTCCCTCACCTCCCAGGCCTCCCGTAGCCGCTTCTCAGCCTGTTCCCCGGAGCGCGGCCGGGGTCCCGTTTCCCGCGACTGCGACTGCGCAGCAGCGGCCCGCGGCGCCGGGCCGCGATCTCAGGACACCGAACCCCCAAGAGCTGCGGGGGCGGGGGCCAGAGAGGCGAGCTTCGAGATGCCGGCGGTCTTCTGAGCCCCAGGACTTCTCCGGGGGCGAAAAAAGTTCCCAAAGGCCTTCCACCTCCGCTCCTCCCCAAGGCTCGGGAGAGTGGTCTGCAGCGCTGGAGCCACTGCCAGCCGGGCGTGGGCGCGACTTATAATTAGAACCCAGGGGGCACCAGGCTCCGCCCCTTCTGTTGTGTGTTTTTTTCTTCTTTCTGGTGGTTGTTGGGGGAGGGGCACTTCTGCCCCACACCTTGCCTGGACGGTGCAGCCGACTCGGGCAGTGGGTGCGGGAGATTGGGGCAGAAGCTCTCCCAGGTCCTTCCCAAGGGGCCCGCCCCCTTGGGCTGGCGCTCCGCCCCCTCCGCTACGGCGCCCAGGCGGGCCAATGGGGAGGGCGGTTGGGGAGGAGGGGACCCCGACTCCACAAGTGCCGAGCGCCGCTGTCAGGCGCGGGCAGCAGCAAGATGACGGGCGAGCAGCGCGGACCCACAGCTCTCCGAGTGCCACTCCATCCCGCCTGAGCGAGGTAGGGGCGCGGGGCGGAGGCCCGGGCTGGGGGCGCTGCGTGGCTGGAGGGCTTCGGGGGTCCCAAACGCACTGTTAGATCGGAACCAAGCAAAACAAAAACTTTCCGAGCACCCATCGCTGGGCGATGAAAACGTACCATTCTGGGCAACGGAGGAACCCGGCACGGTCGGGTTGCTCTTGGGCACTGGTGATTTATGGAGTTTGGAAAAGGGTCAAGTCCCAATGGTAGAACCGACTGGCGGTAGGAGGTAGTGGAAGCTGCGCTTGGCCGGAGGGGAAGGAGGGAAGGCGCTTATTTCTGGAAATCCTAAAGACAAAGAATATTGGGGGAGGAGGGGTTAGGGCTGAGACTCGCACTTGCGGGCCGGCGGAGCTCGCGGCGCCAGAGCTTCTGCTGTCCCGGGATGGGTGGGAGCGCCCTCACCCCCATTCCTCCACTTCGACCCCACTGCCGCCGCCGCACCTGGCACCACCTAAACAACTTACAAGTAGACCTCTGCTAACGAAGGCCACAGCCAGGTCCCTCCACACTTTGTAGAGCTCTGCGGGGGAGGCGACGTGCTGGGGGAGGGCGGCAAATGGAACTGCTCCGGGCAGCTCTCCTGTGAGTTTCTGCAGGGCAGCTTTGCGCTGGGCGTCAGGAATGCAGAGACATGCATTGTTGGGGGGTGAGGGAGGGGGGCGCGGGGAGGATAGCTTCTCTGTGTCGGCGATAGCCACGTTAACTAAAAATACTCCTCATACAATCAAGGAGTTTCCAAAACTGAGGGGGTTTATTACAGTCTCTCACAAATGGTTTTTGCCGGGCTGCTGTAGATAGATGTTCTTGCATTGGGGATGAGAAAAAGAAGAAAGGAAGGGCAGTTGCCCGGCGGTTCCTGTTTATCTCTAGGCCAGAGCAGGCTCGGCCACCCAGAGCAAGAAGCGCCCTCGAACCCCAGACACACCTGCTGTGGAGTTATTAATAGAGCCCCAACATGTTTTAGCTGTCAAATGACTTTCACGCCTGTCTCATTTCTGGCAGGACAGTTAGGAGAGGTTTCTGGTCTCCCTGAGCCGGATGGCAGCGGTGTGCAGAGATGTGCGCCCCCACCTCATTGGAGCGGTGGGGTCTCCTCCTAGAAGCCTGGGAATGCTGCTGGCCGGGTGGGGGGAGGAGAGGGAGAGGGAGGGAGTGGGGTCGGAGGGTCTCGTTTCTCCATTTTTCCCATTTTCTTTGGAGTGGACGTGACCCCAGGGAGAGTTTTTGTCAGGTTGGAGTTTTCAGTTGGGGCGAGTTTTGGTTGGTGGTCATTCTCCTAATCTTTCGTCCCCTTCTTCCTTTTTCCTATTTTTAAAACCATTTCTTTTTTGCAAGAGATAAGAATGTGATTATTTAAAAAAAAAAAATCCCTCTCCCCGCGCCCTCCCTCCCCACGTTTCCTTAAAGCAAGTCCACGAAGCTGGAGCAGTGCCCTTAGCTCGGGTGGATTGTGCCAGTGTGCTGTGGCTTTTTTCCCTGACTCGGACTCTCTTTGTAACTCGTTTAAGGCTGCGGTTCCCGAGACCTCTGCAGCCCAGATCCTCGGGAAGCCTGGATCTCCCCCGCTGAAGCACCGACGGCCAGCAGCAGGCTCTCTCTCCGCCTCGCCCTGCCCTCTAGCGTTCTCGGTGGAGCACTGCCACCCGGGCGCCTGGGGACGCGGAGCGCAGCATGGGGCCCACCGGCTCGCCGCTGGTCAAGGCCCTCCGCCGCTCGGTCTCCGACTACGTCAACTATGACGTCATCGTCCGGCATTACAACTACACGGGAAAGCTGAAACTTGGAGCAGAGGAGAGCGGCCTCAAGGTGACCTCGGTGGTGTTCATTCTCATCTGCAGCTTCATCATCGTGGAGAACATCTTCGTCCTGCTGACCATCTGGAAAACCAAGAAGTTCCACCGGCCCATGTACTATTTCATCGGCAACCTGGCCCTCTCAGACCTGCTGGCCGGGGTGGCCTACGTCATCAACCTGCTCTTCTCCGGGGCCAACACCTACAAGCTGACGCCCGTTCAGTGGTTCCTGCGGGAGGGGAGCATGTTCGTGGCCCTGTCCGCGTCCGTGTTCAGCCTGCTGGCCATCGCCATCGAGCGCTACATCACCATGCTGAAGATGAAGCTGCACAACGACAGCAACAGCTGCCGCTCCTTCCTGCTCATCAGCGCCTGCTGGGTCATCTCGCTGGTGCTGGGCGGCCTGCCGCTCATGGGCTGGAACTGCGTGGGCGCGCTGCCCGGCTGCTCCACCGTGCTGCCGCTCTACCACAAGCACTATATCCTCTTCTGCACCACGGTCTTCACCGTGCTGCTGCTCTCCATCGTCATCCTCTACTGCAGGATCTACTCGCTGGTCCGGACTCGCAGCCGCCGCCTCACCTTCCGCAAGAACGCGTCCAAGACCAGCCGCAGCTCGGAGAAGTCGCTGGCGCTGCTCAAGACGGTGATCATCGTGCTGAGCGTCTTCATCGCCTGCTGGGCGCCGCTGTTCATCCTGCTTCTGCTGGATGTGGGCTGCAAGGTGAACACCTGCGACATCCTCTTCAAGGCGGAGTACTTCCTCGTGCTGGCGGTGCTCAACTCGGGCACCAACCCCATCATCTACACCTTGACCAACAAGGAGATGCGCCGCGCCTTCATCCGGATCCTGTCCTGCTGCAAGTGGCCCCGTGGGGAGGCGGCGGGCAAGTTCAAGCGCCCCATCGTCGCCGGCGTGGAATTCAGCCGCAGCAAGTCGGACAACTCGTCCCACCCCCAGAAGGACGATGGGGACAACCCGGAGACCATCATGTCCTCTGGGAACGTCAACTCTTCTTCCTAACGCCGGAAGCTGCTGACCCGTGGGGAGTGTTCTTTCTTGCATGGTCGCCCACCACCCAGGGTTTGGGAAACGTCTCTGTGCCTCAGTGCTGCGGGGGAGGAGCTGCGGAGCCAGGGAGGGTGGGAGAGGAAGACGCGCCTGCCCACCTGCCTGCCTGCCTGCCTGCCTGCCGGGTGGGGTCCTGGGTACAGTCAGTCCTGTGAACAATGCACTGGGGAAGGGTGGAGAGCAGGTCCGAGCCCAGGAGTCTGTTTCCTCCCCGCACCGGAGCCTTGATTTTGCACTGAGCCAAAGGTCTAGCCTTGTCACATGCCCCAAGGGGCTCCCTTGGCCCTCCTCAAAGACCAAGGGCCCCTTGTGGGAGTGGCCGTCTGGAGCTTTGAAGAGGAGATGTCACCTTTCACTTCAGTTTCCAGCCACGTGAGTGTGCGCCCTTCTGCTTCTCTGGCAATGCTCCAGAGCCCACCCTCCCTTCCCCTTCCCCTTCCCCTACCTGGCGGCCGGTGGGGCCCCGGGGGTGTGGCACGGCCCGTTTCTCCAGCGTCCACAGCTGATGGGCGGAGTCCAGGAGGCAGACTCAGAGGGGACAGTTTGCCGTGTCTGGCAGTTTCATTTGCTGAGGCCAAAGTTTCCACGAAACCTGGATCTGTTTTTTTGGAATTTGGTTGTAGTCACTTTGATGTTTTTGTGGACATCTGTACAATGGAATGTGTCACAGTACCCTGCCCTTGTGGCTGGAATCTGCCCAGGGAAGCCCAGCTCATCGAAACGGTATCAGCCAGGGTCCCGGGCGTCCTGGGAGAAACAAAGGCACAAAACATGGTGAAAAGGGACCGAGGGGCGGACTTGGTGAACTGAGAGGGATTCGCTGATGAGTTCGCCTCATGCCTGCCACATCCGTCTTTGGCACTTTCGTTGATGTTGTCATTTCAGAGTGTGGTGTGGGTCACTGCAATGGGACGGTTGGATTTGGCTGTGTTCCAAGCGTTTTTCATGATCTTTGAATGTATTTGTTTCAGCATTTCATTGGGTTTTTCTAACCTGTGTTAACACCAGTGAATGTGTACTTCTAAAGAAAGGATCATCACCCTTTTTGTGCCCTTTAAAGCATTACTTTAACTGACGGGGACACGAGGAATTTTCCAACTCATTCCATAGTTCATGGAACAGGAGTGTAAATGTTACAAAGAATAAAAATACATTGCTGTTTGTTTAGAATGGTTTTCAGTGCAATTAAACCAAGAAATGTCTTTTTTAAAAAAAAGTATTTAATAGGTTTCTGACTTTTGTGGATCATTTTGCACATAGCTTTATCAACTTTTAAACATTAATAAACTGATTTTTTAAAAGAGTCCTTTGTGAAGAGTATTTTAAAAATAATGATCAAGAACTTCTATTTCATTCCGTGGCTCCTTAGAATCAAAGTCAGGGGCAAATGCCTGTTACTGTTTAAATGATTTTTATCTTAACAAACCAGGCTATAAAAAAAAAAACGTGTCCTGGCTGGTGTGGCTCAGTGGACTGCGCACCGGCCTGTGAACCAAAGGTCTGCCGGTTCAATTCCCAGTCAGGGCACATGCCTGGGTTGCGGGCCAGGTCCCTGGTATGTGTGGCGCGTGAGAGGCAACCACACATTGACATTTCTGTGCCTCTCTTTCCCCCTCCCTGCCCCTCCCTCTGAAAATAAATAAATAAAATCTTTAAAAACACTTTAAAGCATGTGGTTTGTTTAAAAAAACCACCCTTTCAGGAAGAGAAACTTCAATATGTGAACCTGAGCGCAGCAAAGAGTGAAAACCACCTCCCTCTGAATACCGCACAGCAGGGAGATGTAAATCTTCGACTCGAATATGGCTTCCACGCCAAGCTAAATTTGGTCCGGTAATTCGGTCCCAAAACATGGGTTTTTAAAGAATTAACACAGAACAGTGTGGTGGTAAACCTAATGTAAATTTTTAAATGATGACACTCAGTGGTCAGCTCAAACGCATCAACAAAAGCTTGCATTCTTGGCTTCCTACCAGCCTGCTGGGGCAGTGGGGATGTGGACCCATACGACAGATAACAGCGAGTCACTTAATTTTTCAAGACGCTGCCTTGGTCTCTCCCAGTCTACCCCCCGAACTTTCTGGAGCTCCGCAGTGTCCCCTGAAGCAGCGAGTTGTAGCGTCAGGCTGAGTGGAAGTCACTTTCTGTCTGCAAATGTCCAATTCATAGTAGCTGCAAGCCCGTCACATCTGCAGCCACTAATTTCTCCAACCCTGAAACAAGGGCAAGCGTCCTTTACAAGCAAAACAGAATCCTTGCCCTCGTTACCGCTCATGGTGTGGTCATCTTCACCGGGGGGCCGAATGGAAGCGTTTTGGCGTGCCCGGCCCTCCGGTGCGATTGTTTTTCAGAACGTGTGCTTCCCAGTGTCGGTGGCGAGTGTGCACAGGACACAGTTGGGACGTGAAGATAAACCTCACGTAAGAGGGTGGATGTCATTTCTGGGTAAGGTTAACTGTGGGAAACAGAAGTGTGCTCACTCAGGAAGGCCTGGGTCGCAACCCCCGGCTTCCTGAAGGAAATGCCGAGAATGCTCCCGAGACAAAAGGCTGGAAGCGGGCTGGAAGGCCTGCCCATCTGTCTGTCTGCCGGGGTGGGCGGCGTGAGCTCACGCCACCCTCACTTCCTAGAGCTCTCATTCCACAGCCAGGCCTCCTGGCGAAGCCAGTCCGTCTGGGGGCTCAGGGAGACGATAAGGGGGTCCTGCCCCGGGAAGTGGCTTTCTAAACACCACAGCGGGACTCGCTCATCCTGGGGGAGATGCGGCAGGGCAGCTGGCCTTGGTGGGGAGGGGGCTGGGCGCCAGGGAGGACGGCCTCACTTGCCTATTCGGGAGCACAGGGTCCAGCCATGAGATACGCTTTTTTCCTGGAAACTGCAGGCCGTGCATTTCATTCCGAGAAAGCCGGGCCGTCACGGACGGTTTTCCAAGGCGGGGGTGGGACAGACCCCCGGTTCCAGTCAGGGCACCGTGGCTGGGGGGAGGGGCATCGTGGTTGCACCCCAGTGTGAGCGAGCGTCTGGGTTTAATTCAGTATGTTCTGAGCATCGGAGATGGGAAAAGGAAACAAACAAAACCCCAGTAACTGTATGTTTATACTGAAATAAATCAACTTTTGATTAAAACACGTAGAATTTTAAACAGTCTGCGCAACACTCGACATATTCCTTTTTTTATTTTGAGATTTTATTTATTTACTTTTAGAGAGAGGGGAGGGAGGGAGAAAGAGAAGGAGGAAAACATCGGTGTGCAAGAAAAACATCAATTGCTTGCTTCTCATATGTCCCCAGCTGGAGACCTGGCCCACAACCCATGCGCGTGCCCTGACTGGGAATCAACCCAGCAACCTTACGGTTCACAGGCTGATGCTCAGCCCACTGAGCCACGCCACGCGAGGGCTTGACAGATCCTTGTAAAAAAGTACCATTGGCTCATCAATATTTAGCAGAGTTACAAAATGACATCAAATAATACCTTATTTCCAACCATATCAAGTCTGATTATAACTTTACAGAAACTTCAAATAAAAATCTCCTTGCCCTGAAGCCCTGGCTGGTGTAGCTCAGTGGATTGAACACAGGCTGCAAACCAAAGGGTCACCGGTTCGATTTCTAGTCAGGGCATACGACTGGGTTGCAGGCTAGGTCCCCAGTGGGGGCATGCGAGATGCAACCACACACAGATGTTTCTCTCCCTCTGTCTCCTTCCTTTCCCCTCTGTTTAAAAATAAATACATAAAAATCTTCAAAATCTTCTTGTCCTGTGGCTCAGTGGGTGGGGCATCCTTCCGCAAACCAAAAGGCTGCTGGTTCAATTCCCATTCAGCGCGAGTGCCTGGGTTGCAGGTTTGGTCCCTGATCAGGGCGCTCGTGAGATGTGACTAATTGCTGTTTCTCTCTCACATCGATGTTTCTCTCCCTCCCTCCCCCTCTCTCTAGAAATAAAGTCTTTTTAAAAAATCTTGTTTTCGAGTATGATAAGTAGAAAAATTACTTTCACTTGAGCCACTATTATTAGAAATTCATACTTTCGTAGTAGTGGGAATTTTGCATTCATGCTAACTACATACTGGATTCTATTTTAGTAACATCAGCACTTGGGTTGTGATTTATGGCATCTCTCCTTTTCCCCTCAGAAGGGGAAAGTCTTGTAAAGATTTTGGTTTTAGTTTTCTTCAGCTTGGGCTAATTTCTGCCCTGGAAATGGCCTGTGTTAAGGATGCGCCCAAGGCCACGGTCCTCCTGTAGTGCTTCTAACCTTGACTGTGCTTTGGGGTGACTGCACCTCCTCGCGCCTCCATTCAGTGCATCCCTGGGACCCCCCGGGTTCGCCAGGCAGTGGCGAGTGCAGCTCCGTTGGGAGCCACGCCCTGAAGTGCCGCTTCAGAAGGACGGCGGGCTCCCCTGGGTGAACCCTCCGAAGCGAGGACTGGACGTTTAAGTGAACCTAAATATTAGCAACGGCGTTTCCGACTGAGACACGAGGGATAATACTCAAGCGACACATGAAAATGTTCTCACTGTAAACCAAAGATTTGACCTTATAGATAGTCACTGGCTCACAGGTTAATCCACGGTACTGGCGCTGATGAGTCTGTATGATCTCCATGTGAGGTTGAGCTCCTGCTTTTTCAGTCTTGCTCGCTGCTGCACACTCAGCTGGAAAGGTGTTTGCTGAGGACATCTAACTGTTTAGAGACCAAACTGCACTGGTCTCGTTTGTCTCCCAACTAATTAGAGCCAATGAGATATGTCTATATTGGTCTAACTAAGTTTTAAACATTCTGAGCAAGGACTCACGAGTATCCAAAAGAAACCTTTATGTAGGATCTTTTATTCTTTCCCTGTGGGCACCTTAAGTTCTGATGAAGAATCATAGTAAATTGCATCATTTCCCCCACCCTACCTTCCTGCTTTTTTGATGTGTGCTGCATGTGGTCCAAAAAAAAAAAAAAAAAGGGACTCAGAATATCCTTCTATGTACACTCTGGCTTTCACTGCCGACTTACTGAGTGGGTAGAGTCACCTTGCGGAACACCTTAGCAAGCAACGCCCACTTGAGTCAGGCAAAACCTCTCTATCTACAAGGAACAAGGATTTGGACCCAGTGGTTGGAGGAGCTAGGAGAGCCAGGAAGAGCACAACTCTGAGTGAGGGTGAGACCTCCTTTAATCCAGTCTTTTCTCAGCCCTTGAGCAGAGCTGGGGCCGAGAGCAAGCTTGGTTCCCAATGAAGAGAGCGCCCCTGATACATCCTGTGTCCCCTGTGCTTGCTCCTTGGATTCTGCCTTTCAAGCGATTCCTATTTCTCCCACACTCTCCTTTTTATCCTTTTGAGGACTGAGGATTAAAAATCAGAGTTAGCTCTGTGTAGATCCAGAGCCAAGTGTGCATTGCTGATGTGATCAGGAATTGCTTACATCTTGTTTTACTGAAGCGCCTTCCTGTGACCAGCCACCAGCCTCTGTGTGCACAGCGGGTCAATCTCATGGTGAGTGCACGCTGTGGAATACTAGTCAGCAATCAAAATGGAACCACGAGCGCTGCTCGCTGCCCCTCGCCCAAATCTCAAAGCCTTAAGTTGAGCTCAGAAAGCTGGCGCACCGCATGATTCCACCTGGGTGAGGCCCAAGGGTGGACGAAACTGGTCTATTGGCAGCAGCCAGAAGCGTGGTTGCCTGGGGGGGAGGATCAACTGCAGGGGAAGACAAGGGAACTTTTTAGATGGTTAGCAATGTTTTACATCTTCATGTTTTAGGGTGTTGTTTACTTGGGTATATATACATGTGTCTGAACTTCTCCAACAATATTTTTAGGGACCCGTGAAATTAAAAAAAAAAATCAGTGTGGTGGACTTCCACTTTTGAGCCTGAGGACTATTTGGGACTTTCCCCGTGAAATGATCGAGCAAGGTCGCCAAGAGCTCAGTAGAGTGGGAGCCCAATCCCAATGTGTCTCACAGAGGGGACAGGCACATTTCAAGTGTCCCCTGAGGCCCCTCAACCAGAACACGAAAGCGCTCAGTCATTGAGACCCGATGACGCTCTCGCTGCTTCTACAGGGCAACACTTTGCGCTCAGAAAGATTTCGGTGTCCGCGGGTGTGGGGGTGGGGGTGGGGGTGGGGGAGTCTTGGGGGTTGTGATGCGGCCTCAGTCTTAGCGATCCATGGTGGATTGTAACGCCGGCACGCAGACGGGGGTGGGGGTCAGGTCCCCACCCGTTTCTTACCACCTGAGCTAATGTAGGAAAGGTCAGGTGATAACACGCATGTGGGGGCAATGCTGCCTTGCTAAACGGTGC